TCAGAACTGAAGAAGCGTCTGGGATGATGATTCATAAGGATGCCTTCATTACGTTTTTACCCTTTTTGACAACTCCATTCACAGGTTGTGAATGGAGCCAAGGTGGAGTCAAACCAGGAATCTTTTGCCTGGTGGGCAGGAATCCCACCACTATGCTAATCTAGCCTGGTATGCTAGCTGCTTTTTGTCAAGTCAAAGAATCATTCACAAATGCTAAATAACGTCTTTATGTACTACCAGATACATAAAAGTTCGAGTGAGCTAATAACTGAACAGCTCAGACCACGGCTGTAACATTTCAGAACAACTTTTTTGGCATATATTTTTTGTAATTTCATAAAAAAAAGCGAGCGCCTCGCTCCTCCTTGTTGTTTCAGAGAATTAGTGCAGTTGGTTGCTGGACTCCAGATGGAATCAGCACTTTTCTTCTTCTTCTTCTTTCTCTCTGAGGGGGAAAGCTCACAGTCTGCTGTGGCACTGGTTCTCACCATTAACACACACTCCCCGCTGAATAAACTCAGCCAAACTATGCAGCTTCCTGCCGAGTCAAGAGATGAAGATGTGGGCTCTCGGTCAAGCCTAGCAGTTCTTACTTCCTATCAGTGACAACCCGCATCAATCTTCATAGCCTTCACTTCTGGAACCTGCCAAGCAAATTCCAGTGAGAAGACGAGGAAAATGAAAGCCAAAAAGATTCGGGGCTGTTAGATTCAAATAAGGCCTGGATTGTCCTCTGGATTTGAGTCTTAACAAGACACCTTAGATCTGCACAAAAAATTGTTCTAAAATTTCGTAAAGTAACTTCTTGCCCATTTTATTTTAATCAGCTGTTAGCTCTTGCTGAATGGTGTTTGATGTCGTTATATTTTAAACATGAATTTGGGCAAACCGTTAAGCGTCTCTAAAGTTGTTGAACCCCCCCCCAAAAAAACATTTCAGACTTGTATTTTAAAAATATACCATAAATGATGTAATTCCTCTCTGTGAGACTACACGACTGTTTTGTTGACAGCTGATTTGTACTGTTAACTCATCACAGACTGAGCCCCGGTGTTAAGGCAATAAACTGTTCAAACAGAGTGATGTCACGCGACGCGTTCTCAAGTGAACTGTTGAATCTTATCATGACACATCATTAGAGCCCATATCAGCACAGACCTATCAGGAGCACAACTGACATAATTCCTTTTACAAACTGAGGAACCAAAGTCGAACTCCTACACGCTTCTGCAATCAGTGACTCAACTTTGACTCAGGCTGATTATAAAACAAGGAGGAGAGAATTATGTTGAATGTCGTTCTGTTTTTTTTCAAACCTATGTCGTTCTTTTTGGAACTGTAGTTTTTTTTTTCCTGCCTAAATATAAGCTTTTTTTGGCCATTTTCCTCAAGTTTTATCTTTCTATATGTTAACATCTCTATACTCAATGTGCTAATTTTTTAGTTGTGTTAATTTAATTTAAATTCTTCTTAACTTAAAGTGTTTTGTTTTTTGACGTTTTGGTTTTTTTTATATAAAATTGTAGCTTTTTTTTCTTTTTACTATATTTGCAAAATAATATGGCTCTCTTTTGGGGGTGTATTTTGGCTTCACCAGGTCTGTAGAGTTTTGTGTACAAATATTTATTTTACTTTCACGCAGCTATAAAATAAAGTATGACTGGAAAAAGGACGAATAATTACAGCGGGAGAAAAATCTTAACCCACTTTTTATATCACCCAAAGCCTGTTAAATGTTTTTTAACACTAACATCAATCAGCCTCTAAAATCATAAACCCTCAGCGACCTGGTCCTGGCACCGCAGCCTATCCTTTACAGGCTTGGTGAGTGGTGGCCTGACCCGTCCATCACAGAGGCGATGGGCTGTGAACACAGTTCCACTGTTTGGATTGGGAGAATGCAAGCGTTCTGGTGCCAACCCAAACAGGGAGCCCTGGGCTCAGTGTAACGTTGGACTGACTCCCCCTTTGCTCTGGCCATACTTCATGCTGTCCACAGGATTCAGTCACACATGCACTAAACCAAACACACTCAGCCCCAGTGAGTGGTCAGAGCCACTTCTGCTCAAGAGGCTGCTGCTGCTGCTGCTGCTGGACCGGACAAAACGTGACAAGAACTTAGGTTAACTACTTGTTTGTTTTACTTTAATTCGGTCCGACCTATTTATAAAATATGTCGAATCAAAAAAAAAAAGGAAATGAGAACAATCCAAAATGAAATATTTAACAAAAATAGGGTAAATTAAATGCAAACATGGGAGGAGAAGAAGTGTATGGTACCTTTACCTTTTTTTAAAATGCGTTAAATACACATTCAGAAGAGGAACATTCTTATGTTTTCCAAATGTATTTTACTTTGCAAACAAAAACACATTTCTTCTAAATGCACACTGAGGACCAATAACCTTAAACTACCTGAAATTAAGCCTTCGATATGATAGCATTTTAAACATCACCAGGTAACGTGACTGTATTCTAGGACTCTAAATAAATGTAAATAAAATAATAAAAGAGTCAACTTTTGTATTATCTGAGTCTTAGATGTTCTAGCTAGGTGTTTAGTAGATGTTTCTTCCTTTTTTTTCTGGATGCTTTATAGCTATTTCTATCAAAACCATAGTGTATTTGTGCTTTTTTTGGTGTTCTCTATTCCAGCTCTACATTGTAATATTGTCGTTTTTGTTCTCTTCCCTTCCATCTATATAAAACCTGATATCTTACCCATCTTTTATTTTCCAGTTATTTTGGTTAAAACAGCTTACAGACTCTCAAATCTAGACCAACCCTGTGAATTGGCCCATTTAACCAAACGTGGTTCAATTCTTTAACAAAATCAATATCAGACCTTATTTGTTATAAGTGCTAAGCAACTAGAATATTTGTTTGGAATTCTCTGCTGGGGATTTGTGTTGTTAGTTTGTTTTATTGGAGTATTTATCCCAATCTGAAGTATGTGACTTTTGATATTGTTTTTTAGAGAACATTTTGTTTTAACTACGACAGATTTATGACTTCTCACTGACCAACCTAACAAATGAACATTCGGTTCAATTGAAATATGTTTGTATGCACTGGAGTACCTCTGCCCCGGACCGCAGCCTCGACTTGGTTTAGCATCCCTATTCAACATCAAAGCCGCTCCTCTTTTCTGTACCTTCTCTAAGTGCTGATAAGCAGCCCTCTAGACCCTATCAGTCCAGTCTAGACATCACCACTTCCTTCTTTTTCATGGTTTACTTGGTGGTCAGACAGCAAGAGCCTGGGACCTCCAGATCACCGCTGATGTTGTCTCTGCCTCCCATGAGGCATCGCACTCCTGCTTCTCTGCTTCCGTGAAGCCAGACCTCCACATCCTGACAAAAATACACAACCGAACGAGACCAGCGAACCGGATTCTTTTGTCAGCCTGCACAAACCAACCCACCACGGCAGTGATAGAAGATTTATGGAGGCCTGTCCACCTCTGCACCACTGGGTTGAGGTGGTCCACTTCTTTAAACAACAACATCCACGTCCACAGGAACGGTGGAAAGGTAGAGGTTTGAAAGGTGTGTGTTTGTCTGAGCATCTGCCGCAGCTGCAGCACTCGGGTTTAGGGATTTAGGAAGGACTGATGTGGCAACTGACCATCGTCGTCACTCTTTTCATGGACAGTAGTTTGAGCAGAGAGAAACTAGCACTTTTAGCCCGTAAATCCAAGGAAGCATTTTAGTACGCACACTTTAGTTTTCCTCAGGAAATCTTTCATTGTGTCTATCTGTCACGTAACTGTTTCTAGAGCATCGAGAATCCAGAGCAGGGGGTCACCGACCTTTTTTTGAAACTGAGAGCTACTTCAAGGGTACTTAGTAATACAAAGAACTACTTGTTGATACAGTCTTCCTGAACAATGTTATAATAATCAGTTCTGGGACATCCAATAGTAGACACTCTTCTTACCATCGTCATTTGAATATTATTGCTAATGTAACTGATTCCAAAAGAACAACTTTTGACCCTCTTGTTGACTAGTTTGATTTTTAGAACATATCCCCAGGGTACCTTAGATCAGGGATGTCAAACTCATTTTGATTGGGGGCCACATCAGCAGTACAGTTCACTCTGAAGGGCCAGCTGTCAATAGAAGACTGTATAGATCAGGGGTCCCCTGAACAAAAAAAGGTTGGGGACCGCTGGTATAGATGTAATGACTCCATAAGAGACAAATGTTTATTGTGTTGTTAGTTTGTTTTATTGGAGTATTTATCCCAATCTGAAGTATGTGACTTTTGATATTGTTTTTTAGAGAACATTTTGTTTTAACTACGACAGATTTATGACTTCTCACTGACCAACCTAACAAATGAACATTCGGTTCAATTGAAATATGTTTGTATGCACTGGAGTACCTCTGCCCCGGACCGCAGCCTCGACTTGGTTTAGCATCCCTATTCAACATCAAAGCCGCTCCTCTTTTCTGTACCTTCTCTAAGTGCTGATAAGCAGCCCTCTAGACCCTATCAGTCCAGTCTAGACATCACCACTTCCTTCTTTTTCATGGTTTACTTGGTGGTCAGACAGCAAGAGCCTGGGACCTCCAGATCACCGCTGATGTTGTCTCTGCCTCCCATGAGGCATCGCACTCCTGCTTCTCTGCTTCCGTGAAGCCAGACCTCCACATCCTGACAAAAATACACAACCGAACGAGACCAGCGAACCGGATTCTTTTGTCAGCCTGCACAAACCAACCCACCACGGCAGTGATAGAAGATTTATGGAGGCCTGTCCACCTCTGCACCACTGGGTTGAGGTGGTCCACTTCTTTAAACAACAACATCCACGTCCACAGGAACGGTGGAAAGGTAGAGGTTTGAAAGGTGTGTGTTTGTCTGAGCATCTGCCGCAGCTGCAGCACTCGGGTTTAGGGATTTAGGAAGGACTGATGTGGCAACTGACCATCGTCGTCACTCTTTTCATGGACAGTAGTTTGAGCAGAGAGAAACTAGCACTTTTAGCCCGTAAATCCAAGGAAGCATTTTAGTACGCACACTTTAGTTTTCCTCAGGAAATCTTTCATTGTGTCTATCTGTCACGTAACTGTTTCTAGAGCATCGAGAATCCAGAGCAGGGGGTCACCGACCTTTTTTTGAAACTGAGAGCTACTTCAAGGGTACTTAGTAATACAAAGAACTACTTGTTGATACAGTCTTCCTGAACAATGTTATAATAATCAGTTCTGGGACATCCAATAGTAGACACTCTTCTTACCATCGTCATTTGAATATTATTGCTAATGTAACTGATTCCAAAAGAACAACTTTTGACCCTCTTGTTGACTAGTTTGATTTTTAGAACATATCCCCAGGGTACCTTAGATCAGGGATGTCAAACTCATTTTGATTGGGGGCCACATCAGCAGTACAGTTCACTCTGAAGGGCCAGCTGTCAATAGAAGACTGTATAGATCAGGGGTCCCCTGAACAAAAAAAGGTTGGGGACCGCTGGTATAGATGTAATGACTCCATAAGAGACAAATGTTTATAATAAAAACTTTTAATTTCTCAGGTTAAGAAACTCTGCTGCATGGACTTTACTAAATTCTTTTTAAGCTCCCGCGGGCCACACAGAATAGCTTGGCGGGCCGCATTTGGCCCCCGGGCCTTGAGTTTGACACGCATGCCTTAGATAGTCCATAGGGGCCCACGTTGGTGACCCCAGATCAAGAGCATCAGTGGACTATTTTACTATAGTAGTTCTAATGAACGATGGACGTTTCTGATTCCGGCTACTGCGTAAAGTTCCTGGTACTTTTCCTTCTTCCAAGGGTGGAATGAATAGAACTTTGACCTTCTGTGCATTCTGACAGCAACAGTAGCAGCATCAGTGCAATAATTGGCCTCCATGCCTCCTTAACCTCACCTATAATCATGTGTGGGACAGCAGAGCAGCTGATTAATGGCTGCAGCCCGATGGCAGGTCTGGATATAGACGCTGCCCACAAGCAGAGCTGCTATTAGAGAGCTCCGAGATACGAGGTTAGAGTAAACAGAATCAACAGGCCTGTCAACAACATGGCCGCATCGGAACCACGTCAGCCGCACGCTCACCCGAAAACCATCTGCTTCAGGGCTACTTCAGAATAGAAGGCGTTTGATCAGATTTAGACCGTCTGAGGGTCAGTGGGGACCAGAGGGGTTCTCTTCTAAAGACAGGGGAAAGAACACAAGGCAACGGCTACGGTTTGGGTTCTTTCTGTCAAAATGACTGACCCCCCGTGTGTTTACAAGAGACAAACAAGTCACGAGATGCGAGTGAAGGGTCATTTAAAAAAAAAACCTAGCGCCACATCTGGCCCAGAAATGGGTCACTAGATTTCGTTTATAGTCGGCAGGAAATCGTGGAGAGATTTCTGCTGATTAGACCAAGTCATGTCTTTTATGGTCCACACTTTCGTTGGTACGGAATCTTTTATCGAGAATCCCTGTGTTAGAGATATAACTTCCACACATTTGTTCAAATGTGCATCACGTTCTGTTGCAGCAGAACTAATGGTTTTGTCTCCAACAACAGGGTCCAGTTTTACAGCGTCATCATATCTTTACAGAACCTTCTTGGAAAGCACTGAGAGCCATAGCAAGGATGAAACATTTCGTTCCTCAAAACTGTTTTGTGTAGTAATAGTTCCTGGTACTTGGAGGGTGCAAACACAGCCACGGTGTATATAAAACAGCATTAATGATCCTTGTCCTAGTCCTCGTCTTTAATCACAGAGCGATTAAGTCCGACCAATCCAGAGTCGTTTTTTTGGGTCGGGAAGGCTTGATTTTCCGCTCGTTCTTGGATCACTTTCTGTATCCGTGTCAAGAAACGTCTAAATAAGTTCTTCTAGAGTGTCAGCGCTCCGCACTGAATAATGTAAACCAACCTCTTTCACTGGTGTTTTCCAGGAAACACACCGAGCAGCAGAGGTTGATGTTTCGACACCTCGTGATGATCTGTGTGTTGGAATATTCATTAAATTACCATGGAAATAATGAGGAGCGGTCGGAGAAGCTTGATTTAGGGCTGAATGTTACTTCTTTTTAATTTGAATCATAAGAATCCTTTTTTTTTTTTCATGTTTTGGAGGGGGGAAAAAAGTTTCCACTTCCTACTCTTGCAGTCCACTGGGGTTGGTAGGTTGGAACATTGTGGGCTGTAGGTAATTGTCTGTGGTTGTTGTTCAGAGCTCTCTTTGGATCTTCGTGACTTTTTTTTACCCTCCTCATTTTACTCCGACCACAAAGTAGAGACCACACAGTCCCTCGCTTCCCACATGCGTCGTTCGAGGTCATTGCACTCAAAAAAAAAAAAAAAAGAATTAAGGTTACCAAATTATCTGACCTTTTGCTTTGACTTTAATTTAGGTTTGGTGATTGTCTGTCCACGAATCTTCAGCTTAGGGTCAATCTACAATCAGCCACATGTGTTTCAATCTTCCAAAGATGGTTTCATGTCCCAGCCATTGTGGCTTTGAAAGACAAACAAAGACCATGACCCAGTTCTGCTGCTGACAGCTGGAGGTTTTTTCATCTTTTTGTTTTTTCAACATTCTTTCCACAGGCACACGATTTCTAAGATTCCCTCACAAGTTTTTAAAGCAGTGTTTCCTAAACTTTTTTTCTAGGAGACCCATATTTTAAAAGTCACAAACCTTCGCGACCCAAGTCAATAGACATTACTCCTAAACCCCTGGGAAACATGATGCAAGACGACCTAAAAAAAAACCAAAACAACTCTGACGACCCACCTGAGGGCCACGACCCAGTCTTTGGGAAACAATGACCTAAAGGATAACCACAGTTAACAATGTTGCCTCCATGTTTACTGAGGGGATAGTGTTCTTCAGATTCTTTGGCTGCGCTACTTTTCTCCAAACATAGTCAACATCATCATGAACCAAAGAACTGTTATTCCGCTATTTCACGGTTCATCTTTCACGGATTCACGACTTCGCGGGTTTTTAAAAAACTGTATATATAAAATATACCGTATCCCAGATTTGGATCTGCAAGAGATGTCACAGGAATGGGACGACGATATGGTTCGATCGGTCCAACTTTGCGACAAAATCGACGACGTCGTGACTGCCTACAAGCTACTCTTCGACTGGAAAAAGAAGCGGCGGAAGCAACTGCCGATCACGATGTTCGGCAGCCCCGCAAAAAACAGCCATTTCCTGCTACTACTACGGATACACCTTCGGAAAGAAGAAATGGCACCACCCTCTGGAGAGACGTAAAATCAATCATCGGCTGCTCAGTAAAAGTCATCATCGCCTTCCTCGTCATCATTTTTCTGCGCATAAATATGGTGTCACTACTTCGCGGAAATTCATCTCTCGCGGCAGGCCTTGGAAACTATCCACCACGATAAACGAAGGACCACAGTATTATAGATACCGAGGCTGCATTTTGGATTGTAAACACCTGTGGTAAAGAAGAGGCCCTTGTTTGTGCGGAAACGTCCAGCACACTCATTTCAATGCAGCCCTGATTGCATTTTATGAACTTGGCTGGGCCTGTTGCAGATTGCACACTGTGCGGCAGGCCAGACTCTGGAAGATGTGGGAGAGAGGAGGATTTAAGCCAAGCTGAAATCCATTATGGACAATCCCTCTCACTCTCTGTTTGACACTGTGGGAGCGCTGAGCAGCTCTTTCAGCAACAGGCTGCGGCAACCTCAATGCAGAACTGAACGCTTTCGGAAGTCTATCCTCCCATCACTAATCAGACTGTTCAATGCACAGCTATAAACATTATGGTCTTCCAATATATTACAATTCAGTCAACACTGCACTATAACTTTGGTCACTTTATTCCATGCTGGAAATGGTCACTTTGATATTTGTATCTCACCTTGCAAATACTGTGTTCACCCTGCTGTTACTTTTACTACTACATGTCTATCCTGCTGCTGTAATGACTGAATTCCCCCACTGTTTGATGAATAAAGTCTTATCTTATCTTATCTTGATGAAATAGATCATTAAACCATGTAATGTGTGACTTCATACATGGAAACGCACATAACAAACGTGGTATCTTTGTGTTTTTCAGCATCTTTAAACTCCTGTCGCTCCATCTGGACAGGCTAACAGACTCTGTGCCACTAACAAAAATCTACAAGAAAAACGTAAATTACAGAAGAATGGGAGTAAATGGTTCCTTTAGTCACTGTCTCTAAGGGAAGGACTGGAGATACTAACCAACTAGATAGATTTTCCAGCAAAACTAGGACTAGTAAATAATCAAAAATATATTTGTGCTGCATTACTGTGTGCGTGTGTGTATATGTTTTGGCCGATGCACGTGGCAGATGCTCAGCTGCCACACAGAGAGCACAGGAAAAGCTGTATTTATCTAAAGCTTTCACTGATGTTTATTTGAGTAAGCGGTACGTCAGGCTGCCCGACGTCTGATCCACAACAAAGTCGTGGATGAAACTTCATCGCTCAGTGTTGACATTAAGAACTGGTCAAACAGAAGTTGTGTTTTTGAAAAAAAAAAAAAAAAAGTGTGCCAAGGTTTACCAAGACGTAATTTGTATTATTTTGAGATGACAGTGAATTGAATGCCCATTTCAGCAAACACAGTTAAAATGCCCTGTCAAGTTAAAACAGCCGAAAGAAAGTGTGAGATGAGAGCTAACCTAAAAAATGCTAAATTATGCTAATGTTTGAAATTATGAATAAAATGTTAAAGAACAAATATTCAAATAGCTAAGATGTGAGATAGGGTCAGAGTTAGGTGAAGTTAGCATAAACAGCGGCTTGTATGACGTCCACAAAAAAAATAAACAAAAAGAGATCAATTAAAGGAGACCTGCTCTATACTTTAAAGATTCTAATACGCAAAAAATTTAATTGGGTTGAGGCATAAGAAATAGTGAAAAGATGAAATATTTGAATCAATATATAAATAAATAAAAAACAGAGCATACAAGCTTGATTATTACTTGAACGTTATAACCCTGCAGGTAGGCTTATAAATATATAAATAAATGTTAATTTAAAAAATATGAAGAATTGGACTGTGTAAAATGAAGTCTGTAAATATATATATATATATATAGTACATATAGGAGAAAAACAATCAAAGCACTCAAAAAGATCCGAACATGCAAAGAATAAGTAAAAGTTAAGGATACCAAAAATGTTACAACACATGGCCCCAATGTAGTATCTGACAGAAGTGCAATTTATAAGTAATTTTAGGCTGTCGCTTTGGCCAAAGTTTAGCTGCTTTGCAGCTTTTAAAATGTATTTAGCATTTCTTTTATAGAACAATATTGTCTTTTTATTATACTATATAAATATTGTTATTTTTAGTACTGCTATTCCAAGATTATGGCTAAGTTTAGTTAAGTTAAGTTATATACAAGTTATATTATATATTTGTTGATTCAGTATTTTTGATGCTCTTTCCTAAGTAACAGCTGTTTGTGTAAAAGCTGGAACACAATTAATTATCAGTTTGGAATGGAGAGTTCTTTTAGGTTTGTGATTGCCAATTTGTAACTTTTTGTTAACTGTTGGCCATTTTATAAAACTTCCACAATAATAATAATATAATAATAATAGAAAATACTACTACTACTACTACTTCTACTAATAATAATAATAATAATAGAAATAAACAACAAAGCACTTGTAATCAACTCTCTGGTGGACACTATTATGCTATAGTGTGTGTAGTTTGTACCGTGAGAGAAGCGATGAACCCAGTAGTATCCCAAGTCCACACCCAGGAAGGTGAACCACCAGGTCCAAGCGGAGTCCCAGGGCAGCTCCACTAGGTGGTATCGGTCCCACACAAACACGTAAGCAGTCAGTTCAAGGCTCTTTATCAACAAACTGTCCAAGCAGGAGACGGAAGACAGACAAGACCAAGTTAAAAAAAAATCTTTGTGGCCAAAAGAAATTGCAAAATTTGTGTGATGCTACACGGCATATTTATCACCTATATGCAGCACAGAAATGACCTGGCCTTCAGAGTACCAGACCTGGGATTTATAAAGTGTATCATACATTTGAGTCGAGGCTAATCCTCATCTTCTTCTACAGTTGGACACGCATTCTAAGGATTCAGGCTTAAGTTTAGTCTAGATGTGGCCAACTGTCAGGAAAGCAACCATGGGCGGCTACATGCAAGATGTAGACCCATATATCTCAGCCATTCCTTAAGCAATAATCACCCACTTATGAACCTACGTTGGACCGTAGGGCTAGCTTGGGTTTAACCTAATGGCGCAGATGTAGAAATCAAGTGTATATTTAGTGGTGACATTATTTTCCATGTAAAATAGCTAATAACAACACATTTATAGTATTGTTCATTACGGCATGTCAAATGTGAAATAAATGACCACTCACAAGGGCAGTTTGGAGACTATTCCCATTGATAAGGAAGTGATTCCATCGCTTATGGGGACCACTAATTCTCCAGACTTTAGAAGACCCACCAGCACCTCCAGAAGAATCAGACCTGCAAAGTAAGGAGTGGCCTGCACTCAAAAAAAAAAACAGAAACAAACACAGACACAAAGAGAAAGAGAGAGAGTGTAAGATGAAAACTCCGCACTGACTCAGAACGTAAAAACAGGACACTCAGGCAGGTTTTTAGTGTCGAGCAGTGTTAGTTTTGGCAGTTGAGCTAAGTATTAGGCAGACTTTCATGTCTTCTGATCCATGATGTTTGTTTCACTGCCCCAGGTTAGAGCAGTACGTCTAGAGCCACACAGTGTTCTGGCAGAATGAGGATAACAGTTTGTCTAAGCTGAGCTGCTCTGTTGGAGGAAACTGGTTGTCTGAGTCGGTTTTCATCATCCCAGTCATCCTATCCCTGAAAACCTGAAGATGTCTCTAAATGAAAATCGCATGAAAATCGTGGTCTTTTGTTACAAAAACGTTAAAGTTAAATTTGAGTCTCCATTTACCACTTTTTCCTGTTTTTTTGCTATGACATAAAAAGTTAAATTTGAGTCTCCATTTACCAGTTTTTCCTGGTTTTTTTTGCTATGACAATCTGCTTTGAAACAATCTGCATTACTTTCACTTTTAAGATGCTGTTTTTAGACACATTTTTATTAATTTAGTCAAATGAAAGTGTATTAATAGTTTAACACCCAGGAAACAAGAAACATTTTCTTAGACAAAGCGACTCTCGTTTCAAATTGTCTATTCGTTTTTTCCAGCAAAATCCCTAATCATTTTGCCTGTTAAAAATTTGAGAATGCAATTCTTGAACCACAGACTTTAATTAAAAGGAGTCCACCCCACGATAATGAAAAGATACCGTACATCAACATAGAAAAACAACGCACTAAAGCATCTGTCAGAAGACGGTACTTGAGACACGTCTTCTTTGCATGGCACTCAATAAGCTGCTGCGACAACGCTGCAGTGGAGCAGCAAATAAGCAAATAATACTGTGCCTCCGCCAGTGGACGCATGGAACAACCTCCGACGGAGGAGGTAACACCGAGCTAATTGTCCTGGGAGTGGGTTAGTTAAAGGGTCAGAGGTGTATCTAAAGTTGGAGCCCACACTCTGCTTAGATTTAGTCCAAGAGGTCATAATGTGGACACACACACACACAGCTGCAGGCTGGGAAGGAGAAAGAGAGGGTGTGACCACAGCCCTGAGGAACACAGCTGCAGGTGTGTGACATGAGTGTGCACATGTGTGTGTGTGTGCACAAGCAGCCACAGGGACACTTGATCACACGCAACAAAACTTCCAACATCTGGCACCAGCTGGAGCTGCTGCTGCAAAGACATGAGCTCACGGCCAAGGACAAAGGAATAGAAAGTCCTAGTATTATTCTGCCACAACAACAACGACAACAACAACGAACTGCCACAACAACAACAACGACAACAACAAACCTTTATTGTCGTTTGATACTTTTCAAAAGTTGCTGTTCGTAGCACTTAAGACTTTTTTTTTTGGAAACTTCTGGAAATAAACTGAATAGAGTGGAGAGTTTTCCAAATCTTAGTAGCTGCGAGGTGTCTGTGACTTAGCCTTTAGCCTTAGCCTTGGGTATGTGATCATGTGGTATTTAGTGTTGAGAAAGGAAAGTGAACTCCTTGTCATTGTGACACAGCACAAATGTGACCTCTGTTTTTAACCCATCACCAAAGTGAACAGTGTGGTTGGACGGTGCCATGCTCAGAGCACCTCAGTGGTAACTTGGAAGCTGGTGGATTCCAACCAGGAATAACTTGGAAGCTGGTGGATTCCAACCAAGTCTGCATCCTTAGCCACGAAGCCACCACTGCCCCTGGAGGACAGGTTCTAATCAGCAGCAGGAGTTGACTAAAAACTTGACACCAGAGGCTACTGGTACAAGCACAAAAAAACTGCGGGAAGAAATTTAGGTTTATTAATTGGCTTCCTCTCTATCATATCCAGTGCTGCAAGTCCTACATCTAATGTCAACATCTAACAGTCAATAATATTTTTTTTTTTTTTACATTCAAAACATAAAATCTAATGCATGTTTTGGTTCAAACCAAAGATGATCTGAGTTCAGTTTTCTTTGTCTTGTCTCCATTTCAAATGGAAGTAATACACTGACACGGCACGGTTGGTTTTTGCACTGAGTTGATGTCTGTTTCAGAGAATATGATCTATTAATGTTGCCCTGACTCAATGTGATTAAGTTCATCACAGTCACCTGATGCTTGTCAAATACATAACAAATGCTTAAGGCTGCAGAAGTCAAACACTGCTTCCCCCTGTGGCCTTGTGTCAAATACATCATTCGTCAGGGCTGTTGTATATTTACTTACTATATAACTAAAACTAACTAACTCAAATTTGCCTCCCGCCCATCAAACAGTAAAAAAAAGTCAGCAACAAACCACAAGCACATTTTTTAACCAACTTTGAAAGCACAAAGCTTTGCGGTTGTTGTTTTTTTATTTGCTTTTTCTCTGTTGGGATCAGAGAGGAACCATTGTAAATAATAATTAGTGACACACTTCAAACGAAGTCACCGCCTGTTCAAAGCACACTCAATACTGACATTTTAAGCTGCAGCAGTTACAAATGGGTTTAATCTGCTTTGGTGGAGGATTATCATGGTCCCTGCTGTGAGTAGAGTTGTTCTCCTCCTCTGACAACACTTGTTAAAAAAAAAAAAACAAAAAAAAAAACTTTTAACAAATGTGTAGAGGCAAGGCAGCAGATGTTTCACACGATCAAAGCCAAATGAGATGCTTAAAAAGGACAGAAAAAAAGTTCAAAAATCACCCTAGTTCAATTTTAATTTAAATAGCACGCGCCAGAAACTGAAGTGGGTTCTGTCAAGAGCTTCTATGACTGAGAATTAGGCATGGGAACTAGTAGCAGAACCTCGCAGACGTACAACAGGAATTAGTACGATGAGGCAGATGGGGACAAGGGACAAATCTGAACACCCAAAGTAATGCAATGTGTACACAGAGAGAAAATGTCAACTTTGTGTGACACTAAGGCACTCTATCATGTAGTGCCATATATATTTCTTTAATAAATTCTCTTTTATATGACTTATAGATATGGATTAAACAATTAAAATATACATATATAAAAACAACAAAATGAAAAAAAATCTGATATTTACCACATATAACAGGTTAAATAATTTATTCTTCAAATTTTTGTAACAGTATATTTTTATTTTATTCGTTTATCAATTCTATATTAACCATACGTAAATAAAATGACTTGCTTTTACTTTGATATTTATTTATTATTCAATAACTGCCAAAGCATATTATATTTAATTCTTCGCTGAGCCCACCTTAATTACATACTACGGGGCCCCTCCGACTGTTACTGTCTTAATACGCCCCTGCGCTGTAGTTTTTCAAGTTTTTGTTAAAAGGCTTTAAACAACAGACTTTATCAAACTCACTTGGTGAACATATTCAGGAACTTCTTCCACCGTCTTAAAGGACGATTCGTTTGGTGTAAGCATGAAAAACAAGGAGCGAATCCCCGTGGGAACGGATGACAACATCTTGAGTCCAGTTGCTGAGTGAGCCAAGTTCGACTGCGGCCGCTGTAGCTCGTGTTACCTGTCGCTACAGGTATTTAATCCCCGCTCTAAACTCTCCTTCTTTCTGAGCGAACGCCTGTGCGGGTGTGTGTTTTTATTGCCTGTCCAATTGAAAGTAGGTCACTTGCGTATCCTTAGTCCTGCACGGACTTGAGTCACGCAGAGAGAATCCGCTGTCTGGCGGCACAAATTACTCGTATCTATTATGACAATTGAAAAACAAGGGGTCAAGCTGCTAATCTCGCGGGAGTTAAAAAAAAACAAAAAGAAGAGAAGAAGAGGAAGTCAAGAAGGGATAGGAAGCTGTCCGTGGGGTTAAATTCCTTCAATAAGTCAAAGTCTAAAAGATACTTTAATAATTCCGACAGTACTTTTTTTTAAATCTTTTCCCGGTTTTTATTTATTAGTTACTTATTGTATGTGTACGTTCAACCAATGTACTACTGTTTATCATTATTTATCAGTTAACTCTGTCCAAGTGTTAGCTGTTAGTTACGTCATTTGTCGTAATCATTTTTTTTAGTTAATTAGACTATCCTTCCTTTTCTACTAGTTTGCCTATTTCTTCACTAGTTGTACCACTCTTGTGTGAGCAAAATGGCTCAATGTCAGCTGAATGTCACTGGAGTTAATTTGTATAGTTAATTTTTTAAAATAGTTTTAAAAAGTGCACGACATTAAAGATTTTCATCCTGCTTTATTGACAATATGTTAAGTTCATGTGTTAAATTGTAATTCATATTTGATTTATTGCAATTAAAATATGTGTGGAAAATTGCAAAACAAAGGTTTGCAAATTTCATTTATGTTGCTTCTCCACTGATTCACATGTTCCACAAGTACGATACATTAGCATTTGGCCAACAAGGGGCAAAAGTTACTATAACTATCGTACTGGAGTTTGCAGGCAGGTTCATGGTAGTGCAGTAACCACAATGTGGATCACATTTCCAACCAAATCCATGAAGAATTGACACCAGAATTGTTGAGTAGATGGACAAAAAAAGTCATAAAAGATGTTACCACTGGTTAACCTTTATTTCAGCCTTTACCAAAATGATCTAATAAACTGTTTAGATTTAGTCGTCATCATCAGACAGGACGTTGTCAGTGTTACTACGTTGGATAAAACACCCTTTATTTAGTCCCTGTAAGACTCACACTGACAGTTCTGTAAAGCTTATTTATATTATTTAGCCTGACTGAATCTTATTCCCAACACATTTTCATGTATTTTACTTTCATAACCTCAGTTGCAGTTGTGTAGTTCTATACATTTGTACAGTAGATGGCGATGGCAGCACGGACGAAGTGTTTAACAGTGCAAATCACGGCCACAGCATGCATTACTCACGGCATAAAACATGGAATGTTTTACGTTTTTCTTTTTTAAACTTATAATATTTATATTATAATTAGAGTTGTCAATGTTTTCAGACCACAAACATTGTTGAATGCCTTAAACTTCATTCAAAGTTATGGCCAATCAAATGTGGGCTACCATTGTAACCAAAGGAGAGGAAAGAGCCATGTATAGTTGAATTGTACATCGGGACAGAACAGCACCATTTTGGTGGCTTGTGTGTAGCATCCTGATTAATGTACGTGGACAAAAGTCGACGACCAAAAGTCCAAAACCAATGCAGGATGTAGGCCAAGTTGAAGAGTGTATGTGGCATGTTACTATGCCAGATCATTTTTTTACTCTGTCTGTAACATGGGACATGAGTACAAGTTAGCTACCGCTAACTTAGGCCAAATCCATTGTTGTGGAAATTAGGTTTTATTTAATTTATAGCTGCATCTCATTTTTTTTTAGTTGAATCACAATGTGGCAAATGATGCCCTTGATAGTTTTGGCGTACAATTGGCATTAAGAAGCAAGTAGCTAGCCCCTTTATTATGACCCACTTCTTCAATTAGCAGTCAGCCTGCTCAATGGAGATTTGTCTATTTTAAAAACAATGGCATTTTAATTTCGTTTGACCAGCTTTGCCAGCATTTGTTTGCCCAGTTCGTCAAAATTACATAATTTTCTTTTTCACGACTGCATTTTCAAACACACATAATTTGTCTTTGTACACTTATTTTGCATCGTTGTATCACGATGACACGAAAGCAAACAGCAGTCCCTGTTAGGAAAGTCCTGAGGAGGAGAAGGCAAAGCCCGGACTCACGCTCGTGCCTTTGCGCATCACAAGTGAGCGTGGTCTGAGCTCTGGTCGCTGTCGTGACTGTCCTCGTTAGCTAACAAGTCCGTGGAGTGGTGCAGAGCCACAATTCCCGAGAACTCCGACGGCAGCAAAGTTCCCTTTTTCACGTTGACGAGTTCTTTCTCCCGCGCCGCTGCTCCTTGCTGTCCGCCCTTTACTCGCTTCCACTTCATTCTCCTGTTCTGGAACCACACCTTCACCTGTGGACGGTGTGGAGGAACGTAACAGATATTAGGATTCATTTAAGAAAAAAACATGGCGTAACAGATATTAGGATTCATTTAAGATTGGTGGAAAAACATGAATAAAACTATTAAGATAAAGAGAACATTTGATGCAAGAGGCTTGTTGTCTTTTCACAGAAGCTAGCTGACACCCAGCTCTCTTTTTGGTTCTGCTTCACTCAAATTCACTCGCAGGAGATCGCGGTGACTCATTTTTTTTCATGTGATTTTGAGAAATATAATCACCGTGACTGCAGCTTTAATTGCGGCAGCAGGGATGATGTGTGCTTCTGCCTCTCAGCATCTACCTGTTTTTCCCTGACTCAACAGCCCGGCTTGTGTATTTACGTCTCTGAGACTGATGATTAAGCTGTTGCTTAAAACAGCACAGTGTTGACACAAGTGCCACAGAGCAGCAAGGCCAGGTTTGTGTCCTGTCAAACAGCGTTATGAGCCTGGGTTATTTTTGGGGGGCGGGGGGCATGCAGGACAGGGTGGGGGTCACATGGTCAGGAAGCCAGTTGACACTGTAAAACAGTTTGTCCAGAGGGGAGGTCTGGCTAACTATCGCTGTAGATTCTTCATGGGACATGTGACTTTCTGCATGATCATGCTGAAGTCACAGCACTACATGTGATCCTCCTGACTTCTTACGCACAACGTTAATTCAGGGATCTTATCCTATAATATGGTTGTTTAAAGCAGCGGTCCCCAACCTTTTTTGCTGAAATGTCTTTTTCACGGACCGGCCTTTAATAAAATGATGTCATTTTGGTATTTGCTAACGTTAAGCCACTGTGTATGCAACTTTATTAGCAGTGTCCTCGTAACATTGCGCTTTTCTTTGAATGCAGATCGCTTGGTCTCCAAGTAGCAAAGCAGTTCTTAAGGCCTCATTAGCGAGCTGCTAGCTGCGTATTATTCAGCGCGGGTTCGGTGCGTGGGAAAACGTGTCGTTAATGAATCCATATTTCAAGTAGGACTCCTGGAATTGTCTGTTAAATGTAGCTTCTGTTTTTCTTTGAAGACGTAGGCTCTTCTTCTATGTCCTCATTGGCTCTTTTACCTGCACAAAGAAACTTTTGTCGTTTGTTTTTTGTTCATTTTGCTAGCACAGGGGGTTTAATTTAGCAGACCGTTTAAGAAGATAGTAGATTTAGGTAAGATAGACATAGACAGATGCGACGGAGAGAATCTGGTAATTTTCCCCGGCTCCAAATGACCCCACGGCCCGGGGGTTGGGGACCAGTGGCTTAAAGTACACACATGACCAACCTTACAACTCTCGTTGAAAACATGGATGGTAGAATTGTTATTTATTCAACAAAAGGATCGACAGCACAGAGCTCTCTGATGTGGACTTTCTTAATCTAATTTAATTAGACATTTATATATTCAGATGCTTTTCAAATAGTCATCAACTTTATTCTTCTGGCCTAAAAATTTGAATATTGTATGAATGATCCCTGTGGCTATTTTAAACTCTAAATCAAAAACACCACCAATGACCCTTTTCCTCAGCTGAGGCTCTTTGAAGACCTTCTCGTGCTTCTGGTTTACACAATACTGCACATACATTAAACATCCCTCACATTTTCTTCAAACAGCTCCACACGGCATCAATCATGTGACCCGGCCTCCAATATTTACCTCCTATCTCACACTGTATATACTTTCTCCGGAGGCAGAGTTTAGACTACGCTTCGGCACCTGAGCTTGATTTTACACTGCTTTCGTGCCACAAGTGGATCAATTATCACAGTCGAAGAGTCAGCAGATTTTTC